GCTCTTTGGATCTGCAGGCTTGAAGGGAATTGGAGGTCAAAAAGGCTGTTCTCCAAGCATTGTTTTATTATAACAGATGAGAACTTCACCCAACCTCTTAGTGATATAGCTTGGTAAAATCCCAATGTGGGACTGCTGTTGCCCTGCGAGAACCTATAAGGCTATAGACTATAACTGTAAGTTGGACTGTATGCCAGGGTATTGGACTGTGCTGTAGCCTGATGATGATGCCAACCTACCGAACTGTAGACACGTGCCCAGCCAAGGGAAGCATCCTGAAGCAGTGTGCCAGCCAGATGTGGACCTGTGGACATACCCGATGCCTTGCATCTCTGCAGGAGGCAGACCAACCTCCCTGACACCACAAGCACGTAGCAGTCAGCAGTAGTTCCCTATGAAGAAGCCATGCTTTACACAGGAAGCCTGACTGTTCCTGCAAGGACTCCACAGCAGGACTCCCCCCCCCCCTCCTCGCCATATGCAGCACATTTTCCTCATTGTAAAACTAAAGGACTTACGCCATGAGAGGATGAAGCAGCTGGCACATCCACCCGCTGCCCATTCTGATAACACAGCTGCCAATCGTTCAACCATTACAACTAACGACCATCCATGGAGCCAGAACATTACTACTCCTTTCTTTCCTTTGTCTTTCTAAAGGTGTCACCATTAGTTGGATGTCTTTAAGAACATAAGAGAAGCCAATGTTGGATCAGGCCAATGGCCCATCCAATCCAACACTCTGTCACACAGTGGCCAAAAATACTAGGTCTTTGCAATTGCCAAACTATTAATCCCATTCTCCCGGTCCTCTCCTGACCATTAGTAACTGGATTTTTCTAGAATCCCTGGGGACTACGTGACTGAGGAAGGAAACAACCCCCCAGTCACTTTAGGGTGTATAAGGAGAACCTCTCCTGATCGCTTGCTCTCTCACTTCCTACCTACCTGACCGCACCCTATTTTGATAACTCCTTTCATAGCACGGTCTGGAGTCTCCCATGTATGCTGCTGGCCAGCACACGATCTCTTCCCTAGTATTTTCCCCTATTTTCACTGCAGGATCACTTCATCGCATCAGACAGGTAAAGTACCACCCCAATCAGCTATACCTTCCTGCTAATGCAGCTGTCGCTGTACCTTTTCTGTCTAAGATTCTTAGCTCTGTATTGATTGAGTGCGTGATTATTTTTATATATTGTGTGAGAATTATTAGTAAAAGATACCATTCTATTTGAGATCTAGCCTCTGTGTCTGTTTCTGAGCATCTGGATCAATTGGACTCTGGTATACGCAGGTTATTGCTCCCTTTATTAAAGCCATTGCCATTTAATATTCAAATTCCCCCATTTTATTAATAAATAGGGCAGTTTGGCTAACACTGCACAGAAGACTGCAGACGAAAACTGAGTTGCTCTTAACCTGTAAATGTTGTTCATTGAGCTGTCTTCTGTGCAGGCACACATTTCTTCCCTCCTGCCCTGCTGTGAGTTCTCATTTTTTTCTGTTATATTGCTACTCATGACAGCTCAGGCAGAACTGAGGGGAATGGGCGCCCTCCCCTTCAAACCAAGCAACCTCTTTGGCAGGAAATGCAAAGCCCACTATGATGCCAATAACTGGAGATAAAAACTCTAAAGTTTTGCAGGGAGTGGCACGTATGCTGGATAACATTAACTCACATGTATGTACAGAAATGAAAACCTCAGGGTCCATAAAACATGGATTCCAATGTCTCTGTACTAATGTGCAGAGTATGGGTAACAAGCAGGAGCAACTTGAAGTCCTAATACAGGAAGGGGACTATGACCTAATAGGCATTACTGAAACTTGCTGGGATGACACTCACAATTGGAATATTAGGATTGAGGGGTATAACTTATTTAAAAGGGACAGACAAATAAGGAAGGGTGGAGGAGTCACATATGTAAAGGAGGTATATACTTGTGAGGAAATACATGAATCTGAGCATGAAAGTTCAATTGAGAGTCTCTGGGTAAAAAGAAAAGGAGTAAGACATAATAGTGATATTATGGTGGAGGTCTGCTATAGACTGCCAAGGCAGGCAGAGAAGGGAGTTCAAGAGGGATGGGAGTTTCTTAAAAGTGAAATACTGAAGGCACAATCACAAACGATTCCTATGAGAAGGAAAAATGGGAGGAGCCCAAAAAAAGCCAAGGTGGCTCGATAAACAGATTTCTAAAGACTTGAGAAATAAAAAAAGACTTATTCAGAAAGTGGAAGGAGGGGCCTTATAACCAAGGATGAATATAAACAAATAACCAGTGCTTGTAGAGAGAGAGTTAGGAAAGCTAAAGCTCAGTATGAGCTTAGGCTACTGAGAGATGCTAAAAACAACACAAAAGGGTTCTTTTCTTATGTTCAAAGTAAGAAAAAGAGCAAGGATATGGTCGGCCCATTGCGGGGACAGGAAAGTGAAACTGTAAAAGAACTGCTCAATTTCTACTTTTCCTCAGTCTTCTCTTGCAAGGGAAACAGTGCTCAGTATGGCAAAAACAGCATATGATGAGGGAAGGGAGTTGCAGCCTAGGATCAGCATGGGGTAGTACATAAGCACCTAGTTTCTTTAAATGAAACTAAGTCTTCGGGGCCAGATGAATTGCATCCAAGGGTACTAAAAGAACTCGCGGATGTAATTTCTGAGCCTCTGTCCATTATTTTTGAGAATTCTTGGAGAACAGGTGAGGTGCCAGAAGATTGGAGGCGGGCAAATGTTGTCTCCATCTTCAAGAAGGGGAAAAAGGAGGATCCGGGTAACTACTGGCCCATCAGCTTGAATCTATACCTGGAAAAGTTTTAGAACAAATCATCAAAGAGTCAGTCCTCGAGCATTTATAAAGAATGGCTGTGATTACTACGAACCAGCATGGAATTCTCAAGAACAAGTCATGTCAGACTAACCTTATCTTTTTTTTTTTTTGAGAAAGTTACTACCTTGCTGGATCAGGGGAATGCTGTAGACATAGTTTATCTTGATTTCAGTAAGGCCTTTGATAAGGTTCCACATAATATTCTTGTTGACAAATTGGAAAAATGGGGTTTGGATCCTATGACTATTAGTTGGAACTGTAACTGGTTGACAGATCACACCCAAAGAGTACTTGTGAATGGTTCCTCATCTTCTTGGAGAGAAGTGGAGTGCCTCAAGGATCTGTCCTGGGTCCTATTTTGTTCAACATCTTTATCAATGATTTGGATGAAGGGATAGTTGCAGATGATAGTAAATTGGGAGGTGTAGCAAGTACGGTAGAAGACAGAGTCAGGATTCAGGATGACCTTGACAGGCTGGAAAACTGGGCTAAAACAAATAAAATGAATTTCAATGGGCATTTAGGTAGGAAAAATCAAATACATAATTGTCAGATGGGAGAGACTTGTCTTGGCAGTAGTATGTGTGAAAAGGATCTAGGGGTCTTGGTAGAGTCAGCAGTGTGATGTGGTTGCTAAAAAGGCAAATGTGATTTTGGGCTGTATCAACAGAAATATAGTGTCCAGTCTACTGTGCTCTAGTTAGACCTCACCTAAAGTATTGTGTTCAGTTTTGGGCACCACCATTTAAGAAAGATGTAGAGCGACGAAAATGGTGAGGGGACTGGAGACCAAGTCCTATGAGGAAAGGTTGAAGGAGCTGGGTATGTTTAGCCTGGAGATGAGATGACTGAGTGGTGATATGATAACCATCTTCAAGTACTTGAAGGGCTGTCATATAGAGAATGGTACGGAGTGTTTTCTGTTGCCCCAGAAGGTTGTACCAGAACCAACAGGTTGAAATTAAATCAGAAGAGTTTTCAGCTAAACATTAGAAAGAATGTCCTGACAGTTAGAGCAGTTTCTCAGTGGAACAGGCTTCCTCGGTAGGTGGTGGGCTCTCTTTGTTTGGAGGTTTTCAAACAGAGGCTTGATGGCCATCTGACAGCAATCCTGATTGTGTGAACTTAGGCATATCATGAGAGGGAGGACAGGTAGGGAAATGCTGATTGCCACTTTGGGGTCAGGTAGCAATTTTTCTCCAGGTCAGTTTGGCCAGGGATCCTGGAGGTTTTTCATCTTCTGGGCATGGAACAGCGGTCACTGCAGGTGTGGAGGGGGAGATATTTGTGAATTTCCTGTTTTGTACGGGAGGTTGGACTACATAACCCTGGAGGGCCTTCCAAGTCTATGATTCCATGATTCTGTTCTATGAAAACAGCTCACAGTAGCTTCGGAGGGGGAGGGGGCCCTCTGCTGAGTTTTTAAGCTTGAAAATGATCTTTCTGCCTAACTGCAGTCCCAATATGTGCTTGCACAGAAGACAACTCAATGAACAACAGTTACAGGTAAGTGCAACCCCATTTTCTCTGTAGCCCCATATATGAGTTCTTTGTCTCTTGAGAACTAACTAGAGCTGGCAAGATAGCTATAAGCAACTCTTTCTCTTTAGAGTACTTCCCTTTGATTTTATTTCTGGCCTTTTTTAACATAGTGGGACATCAGCCCTCATTTTCTTTTCATGAAACCTTTTTAAAAGCATGCAGTATTGTTTGAGAAGTGAACTTAAGTCAGTTTCCTGCTCCATTGTTAAGTGCATAACTAATTAGGTTATAACTGACCATGTTTTAGCATCCTCCTTTCTGTACAAAAATAGCCATTGAGTTCTAATGTACTGAAGTTCTTTTGAGGAAGCAACAATTCCCTCTTCCTTGATTTCAGTTCCATGGAATTCTCACAGGATAGAATCTGTATACGGGTTATCCAGAGTAGTCACTGGAGTGGGGCTAGATGCTGCCATTGCAGCAGAGTGGCCAAATGTATTGTGACCATCCTCATAAGGTACTGCTAGAATGAGTTTTGGACAGGTATTGTGGGTGTTGATTCTTTACCATTCATTGCGCCTTCAAAAAAGGCTCTGCAGTGTTGCAGAATGCAAATTCAAAAACAGCATTATAAATATGCTCTGTTCTATTGGTTGCCTATAACATGTGATGGTGTTGCATTTGTAGGTGGCTGGTGGCATGTAGTTCTCAATCTTGACGCAACCATTGCTGTCACACAGAACTTTGCCAGCTGTACAAACTTCCCTGTGGTGTGGCACAAGACAGTGAGGGGAAGGCCAAAATTATCAAGGAAATGGTACAGGTGAGAGATGTGATCACTACGTCAGTGATTTCCCAAATGCTGGTATAACAAGCCAATCATTGCTTCCTTAAGCATGACAGTGTGTGTTGAAGACAAAAGTGTTAAAAGTTGTACATTTTGGAAAGACCTATCTTGTGTATCAAGCTCTTGTATGAGTGAGTGGAGTCCAGAAGGATTTCAGGATTTGCTAAGATGACCCTGACCTGGATAGGCCAAGCTAACCTGATCTCAGGAGCTGGGCAGGCCCTGGTCAGTACTTGGCTGGGAGACCACCAAGGAAGTCCAGGGCTCTTAGAAAGAGGCAGGCTGTGGCAAACCATCTCTGTCTCTTCGCTTGAAAACCCTATGGGGTTGCCATAAGTCAGCTGTGACTTGACGGCACTTTCTACCACACTGTGACCCATATTGTATGTATTTGAATGACATGGGTAAAAAAAAATTATTTCATATATATAAGACAAACAATAACAAACATACAGAAATACTCATTGGGGGAAGATCCATTTGTATTGTTTTTTTTTACATAGTCATTGACCTCATGCTGTAACCAAAGAATTCATTTCTTTTTTCCACCTTATAATTTTAATATGTACCTTTTGCTCACAGTTAAATATATAGTTCTTATTTCTTTTTATTTCGGTTATAGGTTTAGGAATTTTATATGATATGCTCTTCTGTCCATTTATAAAATCTTGACCACGTGTCCCCAAAATCTTCTTCATTATTTCCTCTCAAGATTGAAGTTAGATGATCCATCTCTGCTGTTTCCAGTGTTTTATTTATAACTTGTTCCTTTGAAGGAACTTCACCTCTTCTCCAGTGTTTAGCATATAAACTTGCCGCTGTCACGATATGTATAATAAAATAAAAGTCTTGGTTTTTGTAGTTCTCTGGTGCTATATTCAGTAAAAACAATTCTGGTGTGTAAGGCACTGTACTTTTTAACACTTTTTGTAACAGTTCATGTATCCAAGACCAATATTTTTTAACTTTATCACATGTCCACCACATATGAAAAAATGAGTCAACATTATTTTGACATTTCCAACAATCATTTGGTAAGTCAGGATAAAATTTAGCTAGCTTATCTGGGGTAATATACCATCTATAAAACATTTTATATATATTTTCCTTATAAGAAGTCGCTTTAGTGATCTTTATATTTGTTTTCCATACACGTAACCATTGGTCTAACTCAATATTATGACCTAGATTTTGTACCCATTTAACCATACAGTTTTTAACTATTTCATCCTGTGTTTTATCTTCTAACATTATTATATACAATTTCTTAATCAGTTTATCATCAGTATGTAGCAATATCTTATCCATTTCTGTCATATTTGTATAAAAGCCCAATGGCTTATCTTTAGCTAATCTTGACTCTGTTTGTACCCTTTCCCACCAACTTATATTAATCTCTTGTTCTTTAAGTTTTTCTGTTGATTTTAATTCATTTTTATTGTTCAACAAATCTTCATATCTCAACAACATATTTTTGCAGTAGCTTAGGATTTGTAAAAGCTTCAAGTGGTGAGACCTATTTGGGTGTCTTAGTATAAAATCTTTTAATGTTTTCCCATACCATCAGTAAGGATTTTCTAACCAAGTGTTGTTTAACATATTTTTGTATATCTGACTTTCCATACCACATAAATGCATGCCAACCCAATAGTAGGCCATGTCCCTCTAAAGTTAGTAGTCTAGTATTTTCTAACGTGATCCATTCTTTTAACCATGACAATGCTGTTGCTCTACAGTATAAAAGCCAATCTGGTAATGCAAATCCAGCTCTTTCTTTAACATCCTGTAAAGCTTTCATTTTTATTCTGCCATATAAATTGTGACATCACTTTCTCAAATTCTTTAAAGTATTGTTGATTTTGAAGAACTGGTATTGTGGTTTAATCTGAGGCTACATTTGTGAAGTTCACTTATTAAACACGAAATGAGAAACAGTTTAACAAGGTACTTGTTCAGTAGCTTACTATAATGATCTTGGTGCTTGTGATGATAATTTTTTCACCCGCTGTATATGCGTAGTTCTCCAATTGCAGATTTTTCAGTTTTTCTTTATTAGTTGCTTTCTCTTGCTGCACATTGAGGCTTGGCCAACATGAAGGCTAATTCCTAAAAGGAGTCCAGTTGTGACAATTACATTGTAGCATAGTTTATTCACAATCCAATTGTTGACTGAATTTGGGTTATATTTAGGCAGCCTGTCTGGAGCAGAAAGCCTCCAAATTCTGTTATTGATTTCACGAGGGTGTTTTTTGTTAATATCTATAAACTGTATTTAATAATGAGGCACTTTAGGAAATGATTATACATTTGAGTGTTTGTTTAAGAGCTCCTCAGTATCAACCTATATGAGTACTCATGTCCTAAATTATGATGCCATACAAAAATGGCATCAAAATCTGGCACACAAATGATCTAATAGTAGCTGAAGTCTTTGTCTGTGTATTTGGCTGTCAAAACCACACCAACGCTTGGATCCTATGCAGCATAGGAAGAGCCATCTTAGAAGAAGACAACTATGTACATGCACACACAGCAACCCTTTGTGTGTGCTGAAATTGAGCTTCTGCAGGTTCAGTAGACCTTTGAGAATGGTGGGAGGTCAGTGTGGGGGTCTTTGGTGGGAGGGAGAATTGGCAGAAATCATCCTTCACCAACTGAAATGTTCTCTGTCAGTGGAACTGCTCTTAAGCTGATGGGATGGCAATTTAGAATTCACGCTGCTTTGAACAGTGAATGCAAACTACCTAGTAGTATTTGTTCCAAATGCTTAGCTTAGGACTCTTGCCCTTTGCTTGCATCACAACTGGCATAAGTGCATATATATATATATATATATTATTTCTGTCTCTCCCCAATCCCACCCCAGGGTCTTAAAACAGGAACATCCTGAACTGGCTGCTTTGGCAGATTCTGTTGACTTACAGGAATCAACAGGCATTGCATCTGATAGTTCCAGTGACTCTTCTAGCTCTTCCAGCTCTAGTTCTTCAGATTCTGATTCAGAGGTAAGGACTCTGACACTGCAAATATTTATTCAGCCACTACACCAGATTTATGCTATCATTCATGGATGGTTGGTAGAGCTGGAGATTGAATATTATGTTTTGTAATGTGATTTGATGTATACAAGTATAAATGTTTGATACCTAAAAGACTTAGAGTGCAATCTTATTTGTGGTTACTCTAAGTCCATTGATTTCAGTAGACAGGAGTAACTATGTATAGAGTTGTGTTTATAAATGTAGGCATTCAAATTCACAGCATCAGTAGGCAGTTCAGAAAGATTTGGTGGTCAGTAGTACAAAATGTTATAAAAAGTGCTAGGAGAACTAAAAGGTTCATTCATCTGTGGGCACAGATTAGCCCAATTCCTGACCTGAATAAGTCTATAAGATCAGTCTCCTCTAGGAAACTATGCAGCCACTTATTGCCATGCTCAAAACTGATAAATTATAGAGTAGTGGCAGTGCAAAGGGTGAGGCAAGAAAGTCATGCTGCATGGGCAGAAATCATTCCCTCCGCAAAAGCACTCTGGTGGTCCCAAGCCTGTGCTATATTGTGCTTTGGGATCTATGAAGAATCTGATGTATAAGGGAGGCCAGGTTATAATTTTAACCAGGGCTTTTTTTGTAGAAAAAGCCCAGCAGGAACTTATTAGCATAATAGGCCACACCCAACAGCAGAAACTCATTAACATATTAGGCCACACCCAGACAGTGCAGCACATTAGCCTATTAGGCCACACCCCCATACCTTCCCTTGGCTTGCCCAGGTGCAAGTCAGTCTTGGACAGGCCGGGGAAGACTCCGAGTAAATGCCTCCACGATCCTTCCAGGCCCCACCCTGGCCTGCCCGCCTTGGAGTCACCGGGGTGTGTGTGTCACTCTCCAGGCCTTCCCTCTGTAGCCACGCATGCAGAGGTTTTGGCTGTAGTGGGCGTGGCCAACTCTGAAGCCAGCCGGAACTCCGTTCCCGTGCGTTCTTGCCAAAATTAGCCCTGATTTTAACTATTCTAGATGTCTCCTGCAGACAATTTGGATATCTCTGTGCAGTAACAAATATTCCTCCAACTCTACTATTACTGGTTACAGAACTACTGGTGGGAATTGCTGTGTTGGAGATTTCTTATTGTCCTTCTGTATATTCAGGGTGATTCAAGCTCAGAGACAGAAGGAATGATGCATCGAAGAAAAAAGCGGAGGACTTGCAGCATGATGGATAATGGTGATACAACCTCCCATGATGACTGTGTCAGCAAAGAACGCAGCTGCTCCAGGTGAACAGGCCTAAATATCTGCTTCTTTACCAAACGAATGATGTTAGTTTGATCTGTTTGGATGGGCTAAACTGTTGACAAAAAGGGTAGATTAGTTATACTATCAGTAAAGTAGAAAAGCATCTTATTGTAACTAGACTGTGCTATATACATCTCCTTCTGTATTTCTAAATGCTCTGAATGGACACTTTTTCTGTTTATTAAACTATTGAGGGATTATTTTTTTCACTGCTTGAAACTATGCTAAACCTTTTGCCCCACTCCTTTCTTTACAATAGAAAGAATGGTTGGAATTAAAATCTGTAATTCTTTTGGGGTATAGGAATGCTGCTTCCTAAACAGAAGATCAGATTTCTTGCTTGTAGAAGAGAGTGCTAGAGTTGGTGTTTGGAGGAATAGGAATTTAATGACTGAACTTATCAGATAGGAAATCTTTGAGTCTGATGGTGATCTCTTGTAACATCGTGGTCTGTACTAACACATCTTTGGTCAAATTACCTCTTCTTTATCAGAGGAGAAGGCTTATACAGTAATCTTTTTTTGCAGATTAGAGGATGTTTCCCAAGTGGTAGGTGGGAGGTTGTGCCTCCACAGAGGGTGGTAGCATATAGCCAGAAGAACGACGGCGTATTCTTCCTCCCCCCCTCCCCCCCACCAATTCTTGGAGACCACAGTCAATCCTTAATGAAACCACTTTCTGACGGTGGATCCCACTGATAAAGATTAGGAGTCACCACTTTTGATACAAATGGATCTCTAGAGAGTTTTTGTCCTGCTAATTATTGAATAAAACAGGAGTCTGTATGTGGCAACCTTATAAGATAGCATCTCATCCCATTAATTGCCATGGTCCAAACCCTAGCAAAATGCAGAATTAGTGGTTTAAGAATTTGCTGAAGACCTTTTTCATAGTTTCTTTATATAGTTCAGAATATAAAACATTCCTTCACTTCAGCGCTGAAAATTAAAAGTTCTTTCACAGTTATGCATTACAGTACTTTCTTCAAATGGCTGTGTTTACCTATCTGTTTCTGACCCTACCCCCCCCCCCACCAA